GCACAGACAACCTTTCGTCAGTATGCGTTTTTTGCATTGAATAGGTGCAAAAAACGCATAAAAACACTGAAAGAATTGAGTACTGGAAATGCAGTGTCTGCGAGAGGCGGGGACATTCGGAAAAGTAGTCCGAGTACTAATAAATACTAGCAACCACCTGCTGGGAAGGCTGTCGATGGCTGCCTCTTCTTTCAGTTTTCACTGGAGGAGTTGAATTCTCAACCCAACAATAGTGTTACTTCTCTGTGCACCGTACCCATCAGCAGAATGCTAATGTATTTGTATGAAAAGGATTCTACGATTTTACGTCTTCAGTATTTTAAATTCCATTTGTTGATCACTGGTTGCTGATGTTATAAAAGAATGCGTCTTAATGCAAACATAGGAAGATGCCGGCAGTGTGACAGTCCTGCGCTAAATGAGTTAATTGTTATACGAACAGAGCCACTGCTGCCTTTAAGTTGTTCACTGATTTGACAGGTCCGTCAGCTGATCAATCCAATAATGCGATCAAGCAGTACAACAACAGCAAATCTGCATGGTGTGCAATCGCTAAGCACAGTTTCGAGACGCGACTTTGAGCTGATGCAATCAAAAACCCGCCCTTTGAGCTCGCACAGCAAAAGTTCCGATGGTAAGGTTTTGCATCCATTTTCCAGAAAGCCACTGTTCATCTATATTTTAAAGGAATTACACTAAATATCTGAACATCTCTGCTCTGTCGCCTTTTACTCACGCCGCTTTCTAGCCCGTGCATTCTGTTCGTTACTTTTGTTTTCTCATTTAAAATGTTCCCTATGTTTTTCGTAATTAAGGTTCGTCATTGGGGCGTGATGGTTTGCTTCCAGGAACTCAGCTAGCAGCGCAGGAATCGCACAGTATGGTACGTTGTGCTCTTGTTTGCTTTTCATTTGTCTCTCCTAGAAGTGCATCTTAGAGGTAAAATGTGATAAGCGAGGTATACCGCTCTTTTTCTGCATAGCCGGCAGGCCTCACTTATAAGTGGACAGCACTTCGCCAAGACATTTCACAACCGCTGGAACGATAATAGCACATTCGTTTAGTGAATATACAACTTATGGCCTGATGAAAGGCAGCGCAGTGCAATGATTTAACACAATATGGCTTCACGTGATATCTAACTGCGCCCCCTTAATGTTGACAAATTCGTGCTGCTGGTAGTGGTCGTGGTCATATCGGTGATTTTAGCTTGTTTTGGAGTGTAGTCAAACGTTCCAAGTGATCTCCCATGATTTCGTCTTCTCCATTTATCAAAACTATATATTAGATTTTTTGACCCTCATGTAGTTGTTCGGTGTAGCCATGGAGCAGAGATTTCGTAGAAATGTTGCAAAACAAAAGTTGTGTGGTTACATAAAATTTTCTAACTGATCGTGCACGTTAACTTAAACTGAAGTACTTAGTTGGGATTTTTTGCAGAAGTAACGACTCTTACAAAGACTGGAGGAAATGCACAGTGGTTCTGTGTTTTATTGCGCTCCTTTATGCGTATTTCTTCCTTAGAAGTAGAGGGGAGGTTTCTGTAGAACACTTATAGCTTAAGCCAGTGAGTTCTCTACTGTGATATATTCATGAAGAAAATCTGTAACCCGTTCTACTGTGCGGGAGGGCACGGGGTGGCGGGGAACAGGGGGGGGGGGGGGGGGGGGGGGGGGGGGG